TTTACACGTGCATAATCTACAACCCTAAACCCTAGAACCCTAGAACCCTAGAACCCTAAACCCTAAACCCTAGAACCCTAGAGCCCTAAGCTCTAAACTCTACAGTTTACGGAAAAGGGTTTAGGGCTTCGCCACGTTGACCAAGCTGCAGCAGTAGAGGTTCCACTTCCCGAGCGGCCACGCGCGAAGCACAGCGTCGGCAAACCTCGGGGTGAGCGGCCCTACCCCCTAAACCCTAGACCCTAAACCCTAAACCCTAGACCCTAGACCCTAAACCCTAAACCCGAAACCCTAAACCCTAAACCCCTAAAGAGGCCGAAGCCCGAAAACGTAAACCCTCAACACTGAAACCTCAAGCCTGCAACCTGATCCCGAAAACCCCTGACAAAAGGCCCTGAACCCCGAACCCCGAGACTCCCCCTAAACCCTAAACCCTAAACCCTAAAACCCTAAACCCTAAACCCCCCATCGCCTGCCAAATACTCTTACTTTCCTAAAAAAAGATCCCCCAGCGCCCACCTAGCATTTAGGGTTGAGGGGTTAGGGTTTAGGGGTTTAAGGATCTAGGGTTTAGGGTTTAGGGTTTGGGTTTGGGGGCCTTAGTAATTACCTATACTACTTTGGGGGGATTCCTTATCATAATTATAGTAAGGTATACCCCAACACTCTACTCCAATTAAGGCCCCTATATTATAGGAGCCTTCATCATCAGTAGAACGGGGTGCGGGGGTATGTGATCTTCGCAAATCCTACAACCATGACTTCGAGAACCGGAAAACGAGCAAACCCTCTCTACAGCGGCTCCCACTAGCCTCTACACGGAAGGGCTATTCCACCAAGTTAAACGCTATAACTGTCTACAACTATGGGATCATAACTTAATGTCCTGCACGGATATTTGCTGGAGTTATGGGGGTCATAGCCTTCTTTTCAGACTTCCACCCTAAACCCTAAACCCTAAACCCAAACCCTAAACCCTAACACCACCTTGCGCGTCGCCGAACTTCGTCCATTCCTCCAGTCAGGCGCTCCCTGGCGGGCCTTAAACCCTAAAACCGCCAGACCCAAACCCTGCCGCACCAGAACTGTAGCCTCAAAGGAACCCTAAACCCTAAACTACGGTTTAGGGTTTAGGGTTTAGGGTTTACGGTTTAGGGTTTAGGGTTTAGGGCTTTGGGCACCCTTATAGAACCCTCAGGCCTAAGGACTTTCTGAGAGGTGGGCTCTTTCCTTAGGATCGGATTCCCAGGTCCTGAAACGTAGGGGCCTAAATAGTTTACCTATATTAGTTTGGTGGTTTCTTATTATAATTATAGCATAATGGCCAACACCCTATTCTAATTGTTAAGGCCCCTATATTAATGTGTAGTGCTTTGGGGTTTTGGGTTTCGGGCTCTGGGTGTAGGGCCTAGTATAGGGGTTGGGGCTTTGGATTCAGAGGTGTCTTGTTCGAGAACCTGCTCCTAACCAGCTTTGAGCCCAGCCGCTCGAAGACACCCTCAGCCCACGCATGAGAGATGAAGACTTCACCTGGATGTGCGAGGGCCAGTGTTCAGGGTTTAGGGTTTAGGGTTTAGGGTTTAGGGAGCCAAAAGTAGGATGTTCAAGGGTTTCAGGCCTTGTGTAAGGTCCAGTTTTGGGGGGAATGAGGGCAGTCAGAGTCCGGATCGCCGTTGAGGGAGCAATGGCTCCGGCAAGAAGCATCGCTGACCTGAAGAAACCATAGACGCTTGAACCGCAAGCTTAAACCCTAAACCCGAACTCCTAAACCCTAAACCAGCTCCGCATCACCATGGTCCGTTCTGGCTACTGTTGGGGGACTTCGACTTGAGTATCCTGCTGTACAGATGTGGGAAGCAGTCTTCAAGGGACCCATAAGATTTGAAACACTAAAACCGAAAAAACTGCTCTCCTGGCACCCGAACCCACGAAAAGCATCCCACCACCGGCACTGCGGCTTTCTTCCGGCCACCAAGCCCGCCTTGTCGCCCAAACTGCCTTTAAACCAGCTGCTTTCACCCTCCCATCCTTTAAACCCTGAACTCTCCTCTAGGGTTTAGGGTTCAGGGTTTAGGGTTTAGGGTTTAGGGTTTAGGGTTTAGGGCTGAGGATTCAAGATAAACCCCGAACCCGGAAACCCAGAAGATGGGCCAGGTCGCAGGGAAGGCCTCTCGGATGCAGCATCAGCGCGTAGCTCATGCCCCCAGCAGCCCGGGTGAGGGGCCTCGGCCGGCAAAAAGTCCAGGGAGGTTTAGGGTTTAGGGTTTAGGGTTTAGGGTTTTGGGTTTAGGGTTTAGGGTTTAGGGTTTAGGGTTTAGGGTTTAGGGTTTAGGGTTTAGGGTTAAGGATCATGGGACTTCCTAACTCGGCAGTAGCGTGGCAATAACATCTAACCTTACATGCAACCTACTTAGCAAACACTGAACTTCCAGCTATGAAGTTGAACAAGATTACCGATCCTATTTTCCTATTTTCCGTAAACGATACACCGTCTCCAGCTCCCATTCCGACCCGCCTAAACCCGAAACCCTAAACCGTAAGCCTTAAACCATATACTCGATAAACCCTAAAACCTAAACCTTAAACTTGAAACCGTATATCCTTAAACCCTAAATCCCAAACCCTAAAAATGGAACCTTAAACCTTAAACCGCATATCCTATAAACCCCAAATCCTAAATCCTAAATCTCGTCTTCTTCAGCTTGGAAGCTTGACGAAATGTTCGTTCACCTGGTACCTGGATTGAGGCGGCAAGGAGCTTTCAAAGGAGGGTGGCTGGGTGGCACTGGTTTAGGGCTTCGGGTTTAGGGCCTTTAGGGCCTTTAGGGCCTTTAGGGCTCAGGGTTTAGGGCTTAGGGCGTTTAGGGTCTGTATAGGGCTTAGGGTTTAGGGTTTCGGGTTTAGGGTTTAGGGCCTGGGTCCATCTGTAGGCTTTAGGGTTTCCGTCTGTGTCCGAATCGAGTTTTGATGCTTCTGGAATCTCGAAACCCTAAACCCTAAACCCTAAACCCTAAACCCTAAACCCTAAACCCTAATCCCCAAACCCTAAACCCTAAACCCTAAACCCTAAACCCCAGTCGCCCAGTGCACGCTAAGGTCTAGTTTTTGTTGAGGGCCTCCTGAGGTCTGCACGAACCCTCACTCGGCTTCTCCCGGCCCATGTTGGGGAAAGGTTTTTTTTTTTAAGTGTAGTGGCCTTTTCCGTCTGGGGAAAGGTTTAGGGTTTAGGGTTTAGCGTCGAGGTTTAGGGTTTAGGGTTTAGGCTGCCACTTCTTTGGCGATTCCGGGAGCAGGACTGGCCAGGGCATATGCTGCTATGAAACGTACCAAGGAAACCTAAATGCCCTTGATTGTGTAGTTCGCCGTAAGTTGCACCACGGATCCTGAAAAGACTCAGTGGATCCCTGCAACAAGGGCGGGATACCTGTGCCATGCAGCAAGGTTGGTGCGAAGTCGTCTGCCTCCCGAGAAGCCCCTATGCAAAGTGCAAGCCCGCGTAGGGGGGCAAGCTGCATGTTCGGACCGTGCCGTGGGTCGTGATGCCGGTCATTGCTGTGGAAGAGGTTGTCCGGGATGCTGCCTTCGGGATTCAAGTCATGATTCACGCGCTGGAAGGACAGGGGGTGGTGGGCTGGGACCCAGTAAACCTAAGAAGGCTCCTAAAGACTGTGTACAGAATGTACCCTAATCGTGACGAAGCTTCTGAATATGCAACTTGAATTAAATTCCTCACTCAATGGCTTGTGGGTGTCCTTAGGCTTTGGCTCTGGGTCTTGAAGAGTCATACTTGGGCTTAGGGTTACGGCAGTTGCGTTTATGTTTCGGCCACCCTTGAAGCATACTGCGGCTCAATGCACAACACAAACTTGACCCTAAACCCTATAGCCGAAACCCGAGACCAAACCCCCATATCCGAAATCCTAAACATAAACCCTGAATATCCGGAACTCAACTTCAGAGACTGTGCATCACGTGCAAGCATACCAGAAGCAACAGCTGTGAATCCGTGCGCCAGAAGCACCCAAACTCCTAAAATCGAAACCCTGAAAAAAGGCTCAAAACCCCCATATGTACACATGAATAAGTTCTGAATAAGTCGTCATGGTATTCGATAGGGTTCCTTGTCATAAGCATAGTAAACAGAGCCCCCACACGCTTGTCAAGTCTGATTAATTCCGGTCTCGGTATTAAGGCCTGAACCCTAAACCCTAAACCCTAAACCCTAAACCCTAAACGGCCTGCAAGCCTGTCATCCGGAACCCGTCCACAGAGCCTGCACGCCATTCCTTTCGAACTTCGATCACAAAACCTGAGCTGAGGGTTTAGGGTTTAGGGTTTAGGGTTTAGGGTTTGAGCGGACACGTCGGGTCTAGGTTTTGGGTTTTGGGTTTCTGGCATTTCTGACATTTCCCAGAGGCTCCAATATCCCTTAATTAAGGAATATACCTTAAACTATAGTAGGATCCCTAAGAAGATTTAAGGTATATTCCTTAATTAAGGGGTATTGGAGTCTCTGGGTAGGTTTTGGGTTTTGGGTTTCTGGCATTTAGGATGCACAGCACTCTAGGCTTGTTTCATGAAGTTGGGCACTGTATAAGGGTTCGACTACCAGTATCCAACTCGTTTGATCGGCTAGTGCAATGCTGGGCAACGCTGAACCCTTCCTGTTCCAGGCAGGCTTCTAAAATGAGTTAGGGTTAGAGCCTCTTTTCCGGGAGCTCTCGGTGACAGTCCATCCACTGCGGGTTGTGGCTACATGTTCGTGAGGTGGGAGCAGTCACAATGCAGGAGGAGGCGCAGACCACTACCATCATCACCAGCATCAGAGCCATCGGCATTGCCAGAAGGAACCCCTACCACACCGATCGTAACAGAGTGGGACCGGCACCCATCCAGGCCCCAAAATGCCACGAGCTAGAGAGTCTAACGGTTTAGGGTTTAGGACGTCGAACGAGCCCTTCAGCTCCCTCCCTTGACTTCCAGCTCCCTTCCCGAAGCTTCTGAACATGGGTAGTTCTCTAAATTAGGGTCCCTTTCAGGATCCCATTTATACGGGTGCCATACTATGTTGGGGACCTA